ATGAAAGTTTATATAAAAGATATAAAGAAAAATGTTGTTACCCATTTTCATTTACATTAGGTTGAATAACAATTTTACATTCAGTTTTAGAATTTTATATAATTTTTATTTTTTAATTTTTAATGAATTTTTTAATATTTTAATTATAAAAATATATTTTGTGTTTTGCTTAATTAATTTATTATGTTTAATTAATCTATTAAATTTATTTAAATATAATCTCTCATAATAGATGCTTGATATTTGTATTGATACTTGTTCTTCAATTTAAAATTTTAAAAATAAAAAATTTGTATATTTAGATAAATTTAATTTTTCTGATTGATAAAAAGATTAATAAAATATATTTTTTATAATTGAGGGTATATAAAAAAATTAAAAAATAAAATTTTTATAACTGAGGGTATATAAAAAAATCAAAAAATAAAAATTTTGTGAAACTTTTAAAGTTGAGATACCAAAATTGAAATTTAACATTTACGTTATCTCTTAGGAAGTGTATTAAAGTGAATTAAAGTGAAAGGTGTATCAATAAAAGAGTAGTGTAATATATATATATATATCATTTTTATATCATTTTTAAATGTAATATATATCATTTTATTTTAAAAAGTTTAGTGCGTAGTTTAATTAAGATATTAATTGATATATTTTTTAATATAATATATTTTATAATATAATTGTTATAAATTATTATTTTTAAATTTAAATTAAGGGTAAAAAATTAAAAATTGGAAATTTTAATAATTAAACAATAAGTGCTAATAAATATATAAAATCAGACAATATAACAATTATTTTCCTCATGAACATTTTAAAAAATGAATGAACATTTTAAAAAATGAAAGGTTGCATAGAAAGTTCAGATTATGCATTTTATTTTTTATATTCTTTTAGTAAAAAAATTTGATTTACTCATGTATTTTAAACAATTTTAAACTTTTATAATTAATAAACCGATTTAGATAATATTAAATTAATTTAAAACTTGATATATAGATATATAATCTATATAAATAAACTTTTAACTCAACTATTAATTTTTACAAATATTAGTTAAAAGTTTTAATATTTCAAAAAAATTTAAGAATCAACCAACAAAATATCTTTGCTAAAAAGGTGAATTGTTAGTTGACAGAAGCATTTACCTTAAAGTATTAAGAGTGGGTCTCAGTTAATACAGTTAATGCAATTAAGTTATTCATTCCGTTTAGTTTAATAAAAATCTATAATCATGATAAAATAAAATCTATACTTAAAAAAATAACTCTAATTAAATTAAAAAAAAATTTAACCCACACCAATAGAAAGGCTAGGAATAATGCCTTCTAGATATTTAACCTAGATATTTAACCAATTGGAATAATTAATGATATTAATGACCAATTTAACAAATATGCAGGTTTGGCTAATTCTGAATATCAAACCCAACTGAAACTGAATTTTCAATTAATTAGCACTAGCTTTTAATAATAAAAGTGTTTGACGACATGTTCCAAAAAAAATATGTGCTTAAAATAAAACCATGAGGTAATTGAGTTTAGTGAGAGTTTCGAACCTTGTTCATTACTTAAGCCTTTAGCATATTTACTTAATTAGAGGATTACATCTGCCTCCAAACAAGGGGATATAAAGTATATATAGTTGTTTGTTTCTCATTTTCTATGGTAATGTATGGTTTAATTTTATACCTCCTATATATGGTTGGAATTGGTAATTTACTTTGATGAGAAGGAATTGATAATTTAATTTAACTCTTTTTTTATTAGTTATTTATGCTTTCGAATTTTCTGTTGACGAACACTAGAAGTATATTTTTATTCACATTATTTATTATGTTTCAGGACCTTTTTTAATGGCGGATGTAGTAGGGGCAATCTTCGGTGCATTGAGTTGCATTTGTGGTACTCCAACCTGCAACTGCATAGATCAATATCGAAATTTTAATGATGATGTGGGTGAGCTGAGAAGAATATTGGACACTCTAACCAACCGAAAGCAAGATATAGAATCAAGAATAGAAGAAGCAGAGGCTTGCGCGGGACAAATGGTTAGACGAGAAGTGCAAGACTGGCCTAAGCAAGCACAAGAGATCAATGTTGATGTGCGAGCATTTTTAGAAAAGGTGCAGGGAGTCAAGTGGTACAAGCGTGCCTGTCTTGACAAACGTGTTTGCAGAAAAATTAAAGTGGTGGCGGACATGATTGAAAAAGGTAGATTTCCTGAAGGCCTTTTTATTGAGAGAGCTCCAGCTCATGGAAACATAATTCCAATAGAGAATTTAGTGGGGGAAATATCTACTAAAGAAGAAATTTGGAGGTACTTGATGGGTGATGAGGTTGAATTGATCGGAGTTTGTGGGACTGGTGGAGTTGGAAAGACTACGATCATGAAGAATCTCCACAATGATTTACAGAGGGAGACTAGATTTCAGAAAGTGATATGGGTTACTGTATCATATCCTCTCAATATTTTTGAATTACAAAGGAAGGTTGCTGATGCTATGGGCGAAAGACTTCGAGACAATGAAGAGGTGATGATAAGAGCAGGCGCACTAATGGAAATAATGAGAAGAGTGAGATTTGTGCTAATATTAGATGATGTATGGGAAAGGTTCTCTCTCAGTGATGTTGGAATTCCAGTGCAAAATGGGTGTAAAGTTGTTATCACTAGTAGATCAGTTGAAGTATGTAAGTTTTTGAATTGTCAGATTGTTGAAGTGCAGTCTCTTTCACAAGAGGAGTCTCTAACTTTATTCCTTAATGAGGTTGGGCATGATGTTTTACAAATTTCTGGGTTGGAAAAAATCCTGCAGCTTATTGTGAAGGAGTGTGCTGGTTTACCACTCGCTATTGTTGTGATAGCAGGGAGCATGAAAGGAGTGGATGATATTAAGGTGTGGAGAAATGCATTGACTGAATTACAAGAATGTGTTAAGAGTGTGAAAGGTTCAGAAGATGAGATATTTATGCGGTTAAAATTTAGTTTTGATCGTTTGCCTAATGTGGAAATCAAGAATTGTTTTCTCTATTGCTCCTTGTTTCAGGAAGATTATTCATTTAAAAAGGAGGAATTAATAGAAGGTTGGATTGATGAAGGACTAATGGATGGATTGAGAAGCAGGGAAGCAGCTTATGACAGGGGTCATGCTTTTTTAGATGTTCTTGAAAAGAATAGCTTGTTAGAGAGACATTTAAAGGAAGAAATTAAGATGCATGATGTTGTGAGAGACATGGCTATCAGAAGCATTGATCCTGGAGTTGGATACATGGTAAAAGCTGGTATGAAATTGATTGAGGTACCGAATGAGTGTGGGTGGGCTGGAGATCTTAAGAAGGTATCTTTAATGGGGAATGACATTGCAAAAATTCCTGTTGGATTGACTCCAAAGTGTTCAACCTTGTCAACTTTGATATTATCAGACAATCCTTTGACAGAGATTCCAAAATCCTTTTTTGAGGATATGAGTGGACTCAAGGTTCTTGATTTTTCTAGAACTCATGTTGAAGTTTTACCTAGTTCCATCTCTGAGTTGAAATGTCTCTCTGCATTGCGGTTAAGGGAGTGTGGCAAGTTAAAGTGTTTGCCTTCCTTAAAGAAGCTTGTGGCATTGAAGAAGTTGGATCTGCAATGGGCAGGAATAGAGGTGGTCCCTCAAGGCATGGAGATGTTAGTAAATCTTGAATATCTTGATTTATTTTGTCTAAATTTGAGAGAGGTTCCAACAGGAATATTGTCTAAATTATCTAGTCTTCAGTATTTGGCAACAATGAATAATCAAAGATCAATTAGTGCAAAGATAAATCTTGAAGAGGTTGCGAGATTGAGAAAGTTGGAGATTTTAGAATGTAAATTTGATGATATGCAAGATTTCAATTATCTTTTGAGGGAGTTTAAAAATTTTCAAAATTTTAATGTTTACCATTTTCGAGTGGGAACAAAAATGGGCATGCATGCGGGTACTAATTCTAAATGCAGCCTTATAATCAGTGAGTGTGACATTGGAGAAGAATGTATATTGCTTCCGGATAAACTTCAGCATTTGGGGATCCATACATGTAAAAACATCAAAAGTAGCTTAAATAAAACAGCTTTGTTAGAGAATGCAACCGAGTTGGATACTTGTTTTATTACTGATTGTGAAGAGATAGAGAGCGTGGTTGAGTTGGATTCATCCTTCTCCTCATCGTGTAAACCAATACTTGATAAGCTTGAATGTTTGTTGCTTTGGGGTTTGCCTAGGTTGTGGGCACTTGTGAGAGTGGAAGGAGTAGCAATGCTGCCATATGTCTTTTCCAATCTTAAGGCACTTAGAATAAGGAAATGTTCAGGAATGAAGAAGTTGTTTCCACTTGAGCTATTGCAGGCTTTCCAAAACTTAAGTGTATTGATGTTTATGAATGTGAACAAATGGAGGAGATAATAGCATCATCGGATAAAGTTTATGATAGTGAACAAATGGAGGAGATAATAGCATCATTGGATAAATTCAGTTTCACTTTTCCTAAATTAAGGGAATTACAAGTGCGGAAGTTACCTCAATTGAAGAGCATTTGCAGTGCCAAAGGAGTTATGGTTTGCGATTCTATTGAATGCATTGTGATAGAGGAATGTTTTCAGTTAAAGAGGATCCCTGTGCAGTTTCCCATGCTTGATAATGGTCAACCATCTCTTCCTCCTCATCTCACAAAAATTACGATAGATGCATACGCAGAATCATGGTGGGAATCATTAGAGTGGGATCATCCTGACGCTAAGAACATGCTCCAACCTATTCTTTATATGATTTATTTTTGAATGGTTAGTATTTAATCTAATTTGAATTTAATTGTTTAATTGCTTAAAACTTTTGTCAGCTAGCTGCAAGGGCAGTTCTTGAGAATATTCAATTTTATTCAGTTGATTGTAGAGTAGCAGATGTGTGTAAATAAGAAGTTACGTGCAACCATAATAACATGTGGTAGTAGAAGCTTTTCCCTTACAAGACGCGATAGGAAAACTGATGTAGGGAAGGAGGTCTTCCGGAAGAGATGAGATTGAGATGCATCCACCCTCTGCATTCATGTCTTAAAACGCCAATTATGTAAGTTGTGATTTCGTTGTTCTTTGATTTTTTTGAATTGTGGTGTTTTCAAGTACGTAATTTCACTATTTTATTCTCTTTCTTGAGTTTTTGGTATGTGCTGCGTAAATTGAGTCCCTTTTGATCGTCGAGTAAAATAGCTTCAACAAAGCATCATGTTGATAAAATGAGAATTAAGTTTATCTTCAAATTTAAGGAAAAGATTATCAATTAATAAAATCGGGGTTTGACCCTTAATATTTTTTTTCTCTTTTCTTTATTTTTTTTTTTTGTATATTTATGATATCCTCCTGAGATTTTTCAACATCTTGCAAACTAGCTTGACACTATGGAATCAAACTGCATCACTCACTATGTCTTTTAGGATCGATTTGTTGGTCTCTTGTTTTCAGATTCTGACATATTTTAAAGCTCTGATATTGCATTTAGGATCTTTTATCAAGCAAAGGCAACTTCTCTTGGTGGGGCAGCGAAGCAAAAGAAAAATGAGACTCAGCCAAAGCCAATACTCCTTGACATGGTTAACAATAGTCTTGTTTTTGTTTAAATTTATGTGTCTTTTATTTATTGGATGGACTTGGTTTAGTGCTGGTTTCACTTTGTAATTTGTTTTGTGTTGTAATTAAGTTGTCAAGCCTGTTGTGTCATGAGATTTCTACTCTTTTGATTGATAGAATGTGGTTGTTATCAATTTGAAATGTAATTTTTGTAATACGTTTCGTGTTTGATATATTATTATAATTTCAAATTCCCTTTGCATTACTGACTTGAGCATTGAATTGGAGAACACTCTGGCAGCCCTTCATCGACGTCTTTGTTACACTTTTGTAGGTTTTTTTTTCTACCTAGAAAATCATATTTATTTTATTTCATTTTCTTATATCATTTGCAATCTTAGATTCTGTTGGTCACTAAGAAGGAAATAATTTTTGTAGATTGAAGTGATCAGTAAAAGGTGTTCAGTTTAGGAATCACCAAAACAAAAAAAGCAAGGCATGGTGGAAAATTACAATTTTAAAATAATTGCTGAGCTATCATACAGTCGAAGTAGTAAGTATATTTTGACTTGTTTACTGCATGTCATTCTCTTTATTTCTTCTTTTGCTTGTTTCCTAGAGTTTTGTTCGTTGGTTATTTGACGGTAATTGTATTAAATAGGTCAAAATTTTCAAAAAGTAAGTTTAACAGAATTGTGGGTGGATGAAATGACATTGTTCTTTTATTATTCCATTTCACTTTCTTCATTTTTGTTTTCTTAATTTTGGGTTTTATTGCATTTTTGTGATCTTTACATTTTCTTTATAAATTGGTTTCTAGTTATGGTTTAAATTAAGCACCTTTTGATAGTTGAGTCAATTAGCTCAAGGTCTCCCTTTCCTCTGGGTTTTGGTTGCTTCAATCCCTAAATTGCTTCTTACATACACATTGTTGGAGTGCTTCCAATAGTTAACCTTTTCTTTCTATGGAGCTACATTTTATGCTCTTAACTAACATTTTTCTTCTTTCTTTCATTTTACTTATTGCATATGCATGGATTTATGCTCATGAAGCAGTTGAAGATGGGGAACTCGGTGATGATGCTAATGATGTTAATTTTAATGGTTAAGAGAGATTCTAATGGTAAAGCTAGTAGGAAAAGGGGGGTAGTTTTCGATTTGTGAGGTGAAGACAAGTATGAAGATGCCATCAAATTTTCTTTCTATGAACCTACCAAAAATTGTTATGGAAAGAAACTTCAATTGACAGTAGAGAAGCACAAATAGTGAAAGGTCTTTTCTACTAAGAATGAAAATCATATATCTATATGTATATATTTTAATGATATGATTCTGATTAGTTATCAGTGATTGTGAATTTGTAGAATCCATCAATGCTTTCACCTCTTCTTCTTGAACCAGTTGCTTTCAACTATGGTTGTGATGCAAATCATGATATCCCTCTTGCTATAGTTACTAGACCCACTAAGGTTTGTTTATTTACCTTAGTCCATCCCCATGCATGCTACTTCCCTCTTGTTCTATGAAATTGAGTGGTGATTATGGTCTTTTGATTTAGAATGTTCAAATTATCTTAGGAATTGCAGAGGAAAGTTAGGGAGACACATATATACTTTTACAATTTTCACTCATGTTTTCTTTGGGACATACAGCAGAGGAAGTGTAAGCAAAATAGAAGTAACTTGCATTTGGTGTTATGTTTTGTTGATTACTCATCATATTCATGTTGTGGCTTGTTTCTGTTGCCTTTGATGGTCTATTAGCCTTTCATTCATGCCATGACAGTCTAGAATTTTTGGTTTTTTGTTTTGTAGATTGGCCACCATTTGCCTCAATTGTTCATAATGATATACTGAGTTATCTAGGAAAGTCGATGTACATTGCCTTTTCATCATTCTTAGGTATGTAAGCTTTTTCATTTTCAGTATATTATATTTATTGACTGAATACATTCGATTATATACACGATGTTAAACATGACGTTATGCTTATCAGTGTCTGTATTGATATATGTCATGAATGGTAAATGTATATTTCTTCCTCATGCAGGATTGGTTCTGTGCTTTTTCTGAAATGCCACGATTGCTACTACTGCATACATCAAAGGGGAAGGATGGAAGCCAGGCGGTAATGAGATTGCTTCAGTGAATACCTGTACAATCCAAGAAGCATCATACTGGGGAATTGGATCTAGTCTTGCAATCATGGAGATAGTTTGCAACATCTTACAAGAACTGAAGATCAACAACCATCACAATTTTGAACATTATTCAATTGTCAGAAGATTAGGAAGATGCTCATATCTATTTATACGGTGAATGGAAGGGCAAACTCTTGGCAGCGAATAGAGATCTTATCTTGAAAATTTTGTTGATTGTGTTCACTGGTGCATACTTGCCGGGACTAAATGATACAAGGAATGATATTTTGTACGCATATTTGTTGAACGGTTGTGAAAATCTTGGTAATCTGAACCTCGTGGGAAATTAAGAAGGTAAAATCAAGGTATTGATAAAACAAAGAATTAGTCTTCATTTCCAAATCAATCTGCTGCTAAGCATTTTCCAAATCAACTAACGATCTTCTGATGATTGAAAAAATATGAGGCTTGCAACCATCTAAATCTGCCGCCCCTTATAATTTAAACACAATGAAAATAAACACAATGAAAATATCAAAGTTTTCTTGCAAATACATGACCTTACTAGTAAAAATGCATTCACTCTTTACTAGATTTATTCATTTTTGGGTGCTTGAAGTTCAAGTACATATATAACATATCTCTGAGTCATGACATATTATTTGAATCGTGCATGTTTTTCTTGTTAAATATTTTTGTTTAATTTAAAAACTTTAATTATTATTTATATAATATATTAAATTTTTATTTAAAATTTATACTTAAAAATTAAAAAGTAAGATTAAAACCA